TTCTAAACAACATTAGGCCTTGGACCCCCAGAGTTTTATTTTTCACCTTTGGGAGTTTTTCTCTTCCTCTCCTCTGTCTAACAGTTGTTCTGACTGCTCTGATGAGCTTGTACTGATTAACGATTTGTGAAAGCACTGCTGTGGCTTGAGCAAAGGACACTATACAAAATAAAAAGTGCATTGAATAATGTGTCTTCCCACCCCATGTTGCATCAATATGCTTCTGCGAAATATTCATGAATCTGTAAAGTCTTTCACATTTCCAGCTTTACAAGGTCCTCTTTTCAATGTAAGAAAGATTAAACTGTGTCAAAAAACTACAAAACCTGATCATACTGCAACACAGAAATATAATCAATATGAGAGCATATTTTCTATCCACGTAAAAAATAAAACCTTGATATCAATATGTCTCAAATGCCAGTTGTCATATTTAAACCTTCTGCAAAGATTTGATCTTTGGGTCCCTAAATTCAGGAACATGCATGTTGAAGAGGCTTCGAGCTTTGGATTAAAAATCAAAATTAATCACACCACTTAACATGGCCATATTCTTTAAAATTCAGAGATTAATCTTTGCATAGCCCAGGAACTGTGGATGCTTAATATTGTTGAGCTTTGCCATCAAAGACTGATCAATACATTATTATAATAATTGACGGAACAGAAATAATTGTGTCCAAGCAGGTCATGGAGGAGGATAAGAACTGCCTTCATGTTTTTTAGATCTCTTTAAAACAACAACACCAGAAGATCTTCGAAAACCTGTTAAATGAGCCAAATCAAGTGAGTGTACAGTGTTCATCTTAAATCTAAAACGTCTCTTGACAGACATGTCAATTGACATTCAATGGAGGAACTGTACTTAACTGATGTTTAAGAGTGATAATGACAAATGAGTCAGTTTTACCGTTGTTTTAAATCATTTTAGCAATAGATGGCTCACACAAACATTTCTTTTTCAGATATCATCCCTTGCATCCCTCCTCCACCCCATCGCCTCCTCCTCCTGGTCGTTATGGTCAGGGGGACCACTGCTTGCGTTGAGAACTATGAGAAGATTATGGTTCCGTATGGAGCCAACATACAGTACAGCATGTTCAGTGATCCACAGAAAGATCCAGCCAACATGTTTAAAATGTTGCATGGATTCAACTGAAGCCTTGAACGGGATGCAAAATGGAAGCAACAACTGCAAAATAAATGTGGATATATGGTTTTGGCTGACAGATAAATTAATAAATTGGTTCCACAGAAGGCCATTGAGCTAGATATGATAAACCACACATCACTGATAGCTGATATGTGGTGAGTGTACTGGCGCACTATGGCTGCTGTCGCATCATCCAGGTGGGGCTGCACACTGGTGGTGGTGGATGGGATCCCCATTACCTGTAAAGCGCTTTGAGTGGAGTGTCCAGAAAAGTGCTATATAAGTATTATTATTATAATAAACCCTGTACAGTGACAGGCCAGTCCAGATAGGGTAGCTCTTGTCGGGTTTAACAGAGCACTGATAGCAGTCCAAAAAAAAATCCCAGATCATTTCTTTTGCCCCAAGAGAGAAAGAGTAAACCTACAATGTTTCTTGTCACCGATTATGACCAGAGGCGCGACACACTGACCAGTCAGAAATCTCTGGACCAGAAATGCAAACATTAACCATCTAAAAAAAAATCCAAAAACAAAGTACAGCACTGATTGCATCACAGTATATGTCATACTTTCCACAACCCCCCGAAAGGTGCGGTCCAGTCATGTTGTTGAAGCTGAGGCTGTACCTTCATTCAAGAAATTTAAAGATTCAAGATAGATGTTGACACTTTGTCTACCTTGTAATACAGTATCTGCTATACGGGTTTAATCACATATCTTAATGAAAAGCTTGTTTTCAAAACACACATTTTTACATAATCATTACATCAGCTATACCATAAGTTAATATAAATGAAATATATCATTTCTACTGCACATTTTGTAGCAATTTCAAGACGTCTAATGTATACATTTTGTATACGGTAGTTGGTATAATAGAGGAGAAACGTTAGATAGCACTTTCAGATGAAACACAGCGACTTTGATGTCAAGTTCCCAAAAGGTTTCAAACAATAATCAGACGAGATTGCCCCTCGACAAAGCGAGATTGTTTTTGCCTCATAATATGTCATTTCATATCAGTGTTGAATTCAACAGACGATTCTTTGAGCAAACGTCAGTGACAAACATGTGAAGAAACAAGCAATGGCCTTGTGCTTCTTCACTTTTCCACGGGACTGCTACAGTAGTATCACTCTTCTGAGGATCACTTCACAGTGAGATGTAGTTGTGAGCAAACAACAGAAATGATCAATTCTTTTTCTAAGCATCTTTTGGTCCGCGTGAGTACAGAATTCTACCAAAGTGAAAATCCATACCAATACAGAAAGGTGTTTTGGCATTCTTCAGAGATAACACCAATTTTCTTCCATTGAATTTTTATAGGAGACTTGAAAGTCTCTGATGTTTGCCTGCAGGGGAGGGGTCAAAAGATTTGTGACCTGTTAGATTGTGTGGTGTCTGTTGAAGCCAAGCTTAATCATTTTCAAAAGGCACTTGAAAGGGGACACTTAGTGAAATCCTTTTGCTTCCTTAAATTCCTTTAAAACAAAAACATTAATATCCTTGTAAAATAATGACGGGTCCATTATGAAGGCAGAGATTAATTTTGTGGTCTGTTTTGAGGAAGTTATTTCTGAACAGCTCATTCATTGTTTGAGACCGCTAAAAGGTATGTATGGAAACACTTCTGACATAAAACGTAGTTTGAATTCGCAATGGTCAAAAAAAAATAATTAAACTACATTTTAAATGTTATTAAAAAAACTAACATTAATTAATTAAAATTAAGATTCTCATACATATATTCTTATACATAGGCACACATCATCTGTAATATTGTGATTATTTTCCTTATAAAAATTATTTCGTCAAAATAAAAGTGCTGATTTAAACACAACTGCACACTCATTTTTCAATGCTGCATATATCATGATGTATAGATTTATATCCAGTATATTATAAGTTATATACTGTATATTATAACTACATAATTACATATAATTCATAATCAAATCAAAAAATCGATCAAAAAATCGTGATACGATTTTTCTGTGTACTGTTCTGTTCTAGTTTGTTCTTTGTGTGTCCGCACTTTGAGTAACTCTTGTATTGTATTGTATGTATTGTACTATTATTATTATATTATTATATAATTCGTTACACTGTGGCTGTGTTGTGTGTGTTAAGCTGCTGTTGCACTGCAATTTCCCTCACGGGATCAATAAAGTATCTATCTATCTATCATGTATGCTATAAACATAAGTAGGGTGGCACAGCTGTGTGGTGGTTTCCATTGCAACCTTTGTGTGGAGTTTGCATGTTCTCTCCATGCGGGTGTCCTCTGGGAGCTCTGCCTTCCTCCAAAGATATACTGGTCGGTTCGTTGGCTTCTGGAGAATGGGGCCCTGGTGTGAGTGTGTGTGCGTTCTTGCGCCTGTGTGTCCCCGGTGAGGGACTGGCGTCCCGTCCAGGGTGTACCCTGCCTTGAGCCCATTGCTTGCTGGGATACGCTCCGGCTCCCCTGCAACCCCGTATTGGGCAGAGCAGCTAGAAAAGGGCTGGGTGGACGGATTAATATAACGAATCAAACTTACATTTATCTTATAGAATTAGAAATAATTATTGAAAAATGTAGTATAACTCTAGATAGCGGTACAGTTTTCTAAGACTAGTACTGTATTTAAGCCATATGTTAACAAGAGGTTTATGTAACCTGGATCAAAAAGTTTGACCAAGTGAATAACGCTGGGAGTCTGAAAAGGGGAATTAGGCAGCTCTACTAAGCCAAAGCAATTGCCTGTTTATTTATAGTTACAATTGAGCCATATACTAAGTAGCATTAAGCAGACTTATGCAAATGCTTTGCAGGGATATTCCAGCCTGGGGTGTAAAACCACAGGCTAGAAGCCTAGAATACACTACAGATCCGCCCACTACAGACTGGTTTTGCAGAAACACGTAACTCTTATCGTTTCGGCCGAATGGAAGCTTTATCGGCTTCTGTCGCGTAGTGTAACCGTAATATCTCTGTGGCGATCGTTTCTCTGAAAATAGCATTGTTATCCAAGTTACTGCACATTATATTTAAACTCCGGATTGTTCAGAACTGACAGAACTGGATTTCTTATTAATAATATATACAGTAGGTACATTACTATCAAACAAACTAATATTATAATTTCCGAATTATCCAGCGTTTGTCTGGTATATAGAAGTCTGGTATTGTCAGTTAAATTAAATCTATCCAGCATCACGTGATATTCAGGCGTCTTTCCTAATCAGATGGAACACTTCTGTAGGAGTTTACTTCTCCACATCCTGTGATTGTTTGCAATAAACAAGTTCGGAGAAAGTTATTAATTACTGTCAGTCTTCATCTACAAGAAACAGCTGCTGTAGCAGTAGTTTCCGGCGCTAAGCAGGACTTTTACAGTCACTCTTGCGTGGTTAATACATACCCACGCAATACCTTGTTTCAACGCATGTATCTCACACTGATCGTAGGGCATAAAATGTTCTGAATCTAATACTGCAAATCTACATAAAACCGAACCTGACATCGTTCATACACGAAAACATATCGAGTGCCATCGAGTCTCTATTGTAAAGGTCATACAAATCTTTATGCTAATAGTTAATGTGCGAAGGAAATGTAAATTCAGAATTAATCCAGATGACTATAATTTTATTTTATTTTTAGGTTCTTGCAAGTGCTAATGGTTCTTGTAGTCCTCAGTTTAAACAAGAAAGCAAACGTTTCTTATTAATAACAACGTAAACCACCAGAAAATAAAATATGAAGAGGAATGTGATGATGATGATGATAATTCCAGTTATTATAAAAAAAAGAAATAATAACCGCACTGTAAGATGTATCCTATGCGTTATATATGGTTAATACTGTTGTTTGAGACGCTCATACGGATTTGCTCAAAAATAAACACTGGAACGAATGTAAATATACTGAATCCCTATGTGTGGTTCTTTGTCAAATCTTTGTGTTGTCTTGTCAATCTGCCACAGTTGCTGAGACGTGCCTTGTTTCTCAATCTTATATTGCGCAGGCGTGATCCAATCTGAGCCCAGTGAAATGCTCGTGGATACAGAATGGGATCACCCTCTGCTCTGCTATCTTTTAACCTATTTCTAGAGCTGAGTAAACCGAGGAACTGTATGCGCCTGACTTTTTGGAGCATTCTCTAAAGGGAACAGTAGCTTCCACATCTCGTGTGTTACTCTTTCCCTCCTTACCAGAACAGATATCAACCTGTGGATGTTGAGCGCATCAAGAGATTAGATTTGAGGGTCTGGAATAACGCTGTCATTGCTCCAGCCATTAATATCCAGGACGCTTCTGGTCTCGCCGGGTGCGCTTTCAGCGGTTTGCATGAAAGGGGTAAGACGGCGGGGGAGGTAGCGAATTGATTTCGGTTTATGAATGGCACTGACATGGAGGAAATTCCGTTTCAGAAAGTCAAGACCCGGAGGAAGAAAACCCACTGTCCCCCTGGATCCCCTCTGAACGCGATCGCCTGCGAGGACGAGTTCGACTGCAAGGAGCTGGAGTCTCTGTTCCAAAATTACAACCTGAAACTGGAGCAGACCTCTACCCTGAAAGCCCTTGCGATTTTGATCATTATGACTTCCACTTTGGCTCTGGTGGAACTGCTGTCTGGACCCAGTCTGACCATCTCCAAGGGATCCCATCCAGTGCACTGCATTATTTTCGTCTCCCTGTTCATTGTAACTAATGTCAAGTACCTGCAGGTGACTCAGCTCCAGCAGATCGTGAAGCTGACTTTGCTCTTCGGCTTTACTTTTTCTTTCCTCTGTTGTCCTTTTTCTCTGGGAGCTTACGGCGTGGAGCCACCGACATCTCCAGAGCAGGGAATGTGGCAGCTCATGCTGGTGACATTTGTCGCTTATTCCCTTCTACCCGTGCGGACGCTCCTAGCCATAGTATTTGGACTTATGGTGGCCGTATCGCATATCATCGTCTCGGCGACATCAGTGACAGCCAAAAGACAGCGGCTGTGGAAAACGGTAAGTTCCCGTCTCGACTTTCAGTACTTCATGCCATTGCCTCCTTTGGATTAACCAGTCCTCCTAGTCAAGTTCGGATATTATATAAAGAAAACACCGAGATTTCCTTCCCCGGGCGTCTGTAAATATAACCCGCTTCTCAAAAGGATTTAAATAACCTGACTCAGGCACAGGTCACTTCAGCACCTAGGGAAGATGGACAGCTCAGCGCGCAAAGATTAGGTGACCCGGAGCGCGGTTTAGGGCTTGTGTTTGCGCAGAGATAAATACACATCGGTCATGTGAAAGTTAACAACAACAACAACGCGGTCTTCGTTGCGTTGTGTTATGGTGTTAATGGCAAATTCCACGATGAACCCAGTGGTACTGACCATATGTGCTATATATTTTTTTGTTTGTTGAAGACTTAAAAATGGTCATCATTATGCTTTTTAACATACTATGTAAAATTCAAGAGAAGATTGACCAGTTGTCATTAAATAAGAGTTTTTTTGCAGCCCGGGTTAATAAAATTCAAACAATGCAGTTTTTTTGGGGGAAAAGGTTACGGTTTTAGTTCGAATAAGCGCATTATTAATACTACAACATTGTGTTTTACATACTGTGGCATTCTGTAAAGAAAACACGATTATCGAGAAAGGTTTCCCCAGACCCTTTATCACCATCCTGTCTTCATAAATTTACAGAGCCGGATCCTTTTCTAAGTGCCATATAATTAACGTTGATGTGCAAATGATCTTTTAAAGATTTAAGTGGACGCACTGCAAACGATTTTATTACGTTGAAGTGCAAGATTCTTTCTTCCGTGTATCACACTCAATAATCTGAAGTACATGGTTAATAATTAAAGATACATGCTGCTTCAAGACGGGGTTCGTGCACGGCACTGCTGTAAAGGTATTTTTCGATGTCCACTGCTAAGGTAACAACAACGCTTTTTAAGTTGAAGCGGTCGGTACTGGTGATTCGGCGCTCCTTCATGACCTTCACCTCAAGAGGTCTGGGTTTCAGACCAGTCTCACGTCAAAGTGGTCTCAGTTTAGCTGCTGTCGACGAAGGGTCCAGGATCAACGCAGTCTTGCCTGTCAGGCTTCCAGCGTGCATATGCAAGGAGTGTTAAGGTCGGGGCCGAGGTATCCTTGGACAGCTCAAAGGGGATTCCCTCGCCTTGCAGTTCTTAGCCTGATATACTCATTTTCTGCCGTAGACAAAAACCTACGTCTTTCTAAAGACACGACACCACATGGAATTGTACACGGCAAACCCAAAAGTAGAAAATGCACACTATTTTAATACCTACTGTATCTTAAAAATGACATAAAGTATGAAGAGATTTCAAATATTACTGGTTAGGCTTTACAATACGTACAGTACTGTATCTGCAATGCTAAAGTGAAATAATATAGCATTTCCAGTGGAGATAACATAAAATGCATTTTGAGACACGATATACTGTATGCATACACCTAATCACATTATTCTTCCTGTTGCTTAATAATTAGACATGAACAGCCGCTTATTGTACAGTGTTGACAAATTGTTTTCTTCTAGTTAATTAAAACCGAATTTAAAAGATTAAAGATGTTGATATACTTTATATATTTAAATAGTTGCTCTTAATATAGCCTTACGTTCTATTCTCCTGCACATTAAAGGGTAATAAAAAAAAATTGAATTTCATTAGAGACTTGTTTTATTCTTACCAGGTATACAGTCTGGGTGCAGAAGAGAATTATGACAAAATAAAATTATGATTGTACATTAATGATAGACTCAGGATTTTATTTTTGGAGACAATGTAAAGGATTTACACCAACACACTGGTTTATGTCTTTTAAAGGGAAAAAGAATGATTGCATATCTTAAAATGAATTACAAACAGATAACGTAAGGAAGTCAAATCAAAACATATACTATACAGAATCATCTAGAGACTATTCATTATTGTGACTAATTATAAGATCTTTGTCTGTGACCTTGATTTGCTACGAGTGTCATGACTAATGATACCACTACTGATCGAACTGTATTGCACGCATTGGAAATAGTTTATACATCTTAGCATAATTTGTGTCTCTCAATTAAAAAAGGCATTCTGTTGGAAAAGTATTTATCGTTATGAAACAGTTTTAAGGAATCAACTCTGGTGCCAAACATTAGTGTCATGTCTACCTTACTGTGAAGGGCAGGTACAGTATGTTTAAGTCAAGTTCTGCTGAACTACTATTTGTTTGTCACATACTGTAGGGAGTTACAGTATTTATCCCTTTTGAGTCAAAGCCAAACTTGTCTGGCACAGGTTGGCAGGCAGGACTACACCCTTGAAAGTGCACCTGTTCATCTCATTCACTCACACCTGTAGGAGGAGAGCAATTTAGGGACACTGGTTAAAACCTGGACAGCATGTCTTTGGAATGGAGGAGGAAGTCAGAGCACCAGAGAGAAAATCCATGCAGATGAGGAGAGAACATTCAGACTCCTCACAGAGCCATATGCAACCCCAGATCCCTGAAACTGAGATGTGGATCATTTAATTAATGGGTGAACCTGTGAAAAAAAAATGTGTGAAAAAGAAACAGACACAGAATTAGAAAATTGCCTGTAAAAACATTAAATAATGATCATCATCATTCTTGCAAAAAAAAAAACATGTCGGCAAACATTTTACCAGTTGCAACATGTACTTTAAATTTTCAAAACTGATGAGCTTGGAATTTTGATTTTCAGAATTGTCCATTATTATAATTTTTAAAGGAAGTACCTTTTAAATAGGCCGTTCAGAATGTCTCACTGAATAACCACATTCTAACACTGTAGCAGATATGTTTTAGAATGAAAGCATGATACCACACTGTAATCTGTAATTTAAATTCCTCTTTGAAAAAATTAATTGTCATGACCATTCTTTTCACTCTCCCTGTGACAATTTGACGTCGTAGAAGAGATCATTGCTTTTATCAATTTAAGAACAGACAGTGCTCTACAGGAATTATAATCCAGAGGTTTTATGGGAATCATAATCCAGCAGTTCTACAGGAATTATAAAACAGCACTTTTGCGTAAGCAATATTCAAAACCATGGGCATCATTCTTTCTGAGCCAGTCATACTGTAAATGCAAGAATTTAGTGGATTGCAATGCCTGCTAGCTGCAGCCTTTGCAATCTGTAAATCTGAAGGTTGCACAAACAACCAGTGTTTGCTCTATTGTGCACCAATGTATTTTGTCCTAAAAATACAAATATGCCACTACAAGTACAATATGTGAAATAAGTTTTGGTAGCATTTTGTAGTGTTTGTAATGGACAAAGTGTGATGTGGTTGATAAGAAAGCAAGGGATGCATGTAATTTGTGTTTCTGGCAAAGTCACATGAAAATTGATCACTCAGAGCACAGAATGAGTCCAACATCCTATACAGTATGTTGCTTAAAACTGTGACTGGGCCTCCTCAGTTGACCCAGGCTGTGAGCTACAGATCTAATGCCTCACGTGGCATTGTGAAATCTATTGGGTTATCTCTTCTCTAGGGAAAGTGTAAATGTGTTATCAGTACATGTAAATGTATTAACTTTCTCAAAGAGACCAGAAAGTGGAAAGGGTTCTGCTGACTTTTTGATTCCAATATGTGCCATCCTGCAGTATATCCTGTGTTGACAGGACCAGCAGCTATCTATCAACCAGATTTCAATTGACTTTTGCCCTTTCTACCCTAATTATCAAAAAGATTCTCGAAGAGTCAGCACAGGTTTGTGGAGTTGACTTCCTCTCATCTTATGCCCTTTTCCATAGATAGTTCTTGTATGTGGCGAAATTTGCTTTGACGCTGAAATTAACAGTACCTAAAGTACGGTCTAAAATATTAGCCCTAAATTTCAATTTACAGTTCGAATAAGAATAAGATTTTTTTCATCTTTCTGCAGATCCACCCTGCAGAAATAGTCCGACTTAAAGCTGCAACACAGGCCTTTAGGTAGTGTATACTGCTAACAATAATAATAAAAGATTTTGATTTAACACATTTAATAAAAAAGCCTACTAACATAAAATGGCATTTTGAAAGGAAAATCTCGGGAGGAAGATTTCAGCCACTGCCTCTTCCTTCTGTGCTCAGCAGCACCACTTTCCCAGATCCCCTGAAGTATTATCCCCTCTCAAGTATTTTGCATGACTGTATATACTCACTCTTCCTCCATAATGATTTTCAATACTATACTATACATTGTTTTTCTAAATACATAACAAATGAAGAATTTGAGAAAATTCTAGCCCCTCAGTAAGCATGTAAGTGATCCACAGATCTCATCAATGTCATTTATTTTAATGAAGCTGGCATATCCGTTTTAACCATGTTTCCAACTTATCTCCCAGAACCCGTCACTGGTTTTAAACACAGTTTCATGCGTGATTTGTTTCAAGAACCCACACCTAAATGCTCACACAATATGGACGCTTTAAGGGAAACATGTCCTCGTTTCTGCTGGTAAAGAGATACTGTAAGAAACTTTGTTTTCTATGGTTTAGGTTCCCATGAATTACTGCACTGTGTATTTGCTGCTGATTCAATGGAACTCATGGAAACTTATTCCTGTTGCAGAACACAAACAACTTCTCTGCAAAATACAATATGTAGACCCATTCCAGTTGCAATCTCCTGGTTTCCTATTTTCCTCTGGCTGCTTTTACTGGGATAAATTCTTTTTTTTTTCCTGCATCAGCCGTCTGCTTGCCAATATTGAACTACAAACTGAAGCAGTGGGAAAGTGTTCACACTTACATGGTTAAGTTCCTGGGTTAGAATTACAAAAGACAAAATATGTGAGCTAGATTTTCAACTAAGCGAACCTCACCTGTGTGGAAAAGCTGCTCAGGAGAATCTGCAAGGTTAGATATTTAAAATGTTTTTCAATACAAAAATGCCTGAGAGTATCTTCAGAGCACTGGGGGGGAATAGAAAAAAATGGAAACACCCTGTCAGATCACACGGTCTAAAGACATATTTGAAGCATTTAAAAAAACGCTTTGGTAGTGTAAGAACACAGGGCTGCAAAAAGAGAGGCCATGTGGCACTTTCCTGTATGGTACAGTAGTTCATTAGCTAAGTTCAGTAGCCACTTCATTTATCTGTTTCTTAAAAGAGCCAGTTTTTCCACTGGGCTGGGAAGCCCCTTCCATCCTTTTTTTTGTGTAAAGGATTGTTTTCTGTTCTCTGTCCTAAATGAATTTTCTTGTAGTTTCCAATTGTAATCATATGTCTTTGTTTCAATATTGAGTGTGAAATAACCAGAAATCATCCTTATCTTCTTTCTTTTGACATTTGTTAACATTATAATAGCCTGTTTGACAATAGCTATCAACAATGAACACAATATTCTGAATGGAGTTTTAGTAGTATGTTGTATGTTGGAAAGTTTAAGTATACAGTCACTTCCCTGGATTCAAATTCTATACTCTTTGCCACTGTTTCTGCTCGTCTCTCTCCTTCTTTTATCTCTTCTGCACATTTCACTAGTTTGCTAATTGTATAAGACACTAAATGATTGATTTATATCAGGAAGGGCATCAGGCCAAAAGTATATCCCTGCATTATACAATCACATGCATCTGTTCAATTTGTGATTATGCCCCTTTAGATAAGACATTGTTTTCTGCTTGTTAACCAGTTCATGATCAATTTATATTGCCTTTGATTCATTTTATTTTTTTAAAATGGAGAACCACTATGTACACTATGAGGGATCTTATAAAAACCTTTTTGAAAAGGTAAATGTGTCATATCATAGGTTATCATCTTGTCTACTGTCCATTTTGCTTGTTTAAAAAATCAAAGGAAGTTAAACAACCTTTCATTTATGAATTCATGTTTATAATCTCTAAAAATGCCACTGTTGTGTTGATATTTAGTCCATATTTCCATACCTTTACCAGTTATAGAAGAAAGATCAATTGGTCTGTAGTTTCCTGGTTCTGTTCTGTCTCCATTTTTATGAATTTTGTTACATTTGCATCACTCTAATAAGTGGGTACTGCTCTGATTTAAAATAAATTAAAATTCTACAGTTATGAGTTTATGAATAAAGATCTTTCATTCCCTTACGCAGAGGTTGGAAAATATCCATAGACCCAATAGGCCCCAGTGATACCAGTAACAAAAGTACTGTACCAGTACAATACTGTACCATGGGTAAAGAAGAGTAAATGCAAGCTACTTTTTGCTACAGAATTTGAGAACTCTTGAGGCTTTTGTTGATGAACAACTGAGCTGCTGAGACATTTCATCTTTATTTCACGGTCCTAAATGTCAGATTTGGTAGGGGGAAAGCTTAATGATCAGGGGTCTGTGTCATGTGTCATGAGAGGTCCAAATGAGTTGTAAAGCCTATATAATATGTTGGGAAATGCTTTGAAGCCTACCATTTAATTTTTCATAATTTCACACCTCCTGACTTCCTGTCCTATTAAGGAATTATTCTGTGCCTTCCATCGTGTGATAGCAAGAGAGGGTTTTTAGGGTAACCAAGCTGCCAATCTTAATTGGCCTATAGTAAAATTCAGATGAAAATTTTTTCATTGTCTTTTTCAAAGGTTTGACTTTTTTATGTGGCGTTTCCAGAGTCAGTGTTAGAAAGGTACTTAGTCCCTGTAGGGGTCATGGATCCTGGAGTCATGGGGCACAAGGCAGGGCATGCAACACAGACAAGTGCAAATTTTGAGGCACGTGAAAACCAAAATACATAAAAAGGTGGCCAACCAAAGGATTCCATTCGGTCCATTTAGCTCATTTCATAGACAGGGTACCGATTTCAACAACACGGCAGTGCTTCTTGCTGCATACCCCCACAAGCCTTTGTGCAAAAAGGTGCAGTTTAAAGAGAACTGTCACATGATAAGGAATGATACTGAGGTTTTAGGAGGTCCTATCTGAGACTTCAAAATTCTCCTCTAGAAGCCTGGGTGTTCAATACACTGCAGGAAAGACTCTAGGCAGACAACACAGACTACAAATCTTAGTCTTCCTACAGTATGTAGGAAGAAACCAAAGCGCCTTGCAAAAAAACAAGCAAACAAACAGACCAACTCCGGGAGAACATTCAACCTCCACACAGACAGCTCCACAATTCAGAACTAAATACAGCATACATGAGCTGTGAAGCACCAGCACTGACTTCCATGTAACCTCAGAAACTGGAATAAATAGAGGCTATACTATATGGTAGACAACCAAGGCTGTAGTTAAGTATACCGAAGGGTAAAAATGCTGATGCACAACCTGCTTTGTACATCTCCAAGCCCCCTGGCTTGAGGGAAAGAATTCCATTCCTGGTCAAATGCCACATGGTAGATGCTGCTGTTTAACTTATTAAAAAACTTAATTTCAACATAATTTAGTCCAACTGTGGATAAATGTTGCACATAAAACAATTCTACCTACTGACAGTCATATTGATGATTCCAACATGGGGTGGATTGTCTTTTGCTCTTCAGGGACTGACAAACTTGGATCCTTGCAGGAAACATGAAAGTTGCACCCAGCGAGCAGATGAGAGCCCAGAATATACCATGAGATTCTGAAAATTTGAGTACCTTCACAACCAATCAACTTGGTTGGGTGAAGTCAACTCTTAAGCACAAAGTGCTGGAACTAATTGCTTCTGCCTTTTGTGGGTCACCTACAGTGTTGTTAGGTCTCTTAATTAGATAGTATACTTTTGAAAAGTTGCAGACCGCTTCTGTTAAAGTGGATGTCTACTGGTTTCCCAGGAGCAGTGAAGCACGCATGCTCCCTCGATTCTAAATCACAGTCTGATGGTTGTTGTTTCTGGGAGGGCAAAGAAGGATTTAGTGCATGACTCTAAAAACCTAAAGCGCTTTTCACCATGTCCTTTTATGTATTTAAGAAAAATGAGGTCATCTTTGTTTTATGGCTGATGACTTTTTATGTCTTATTTTCCAATTATTTTCTTGGAGCTAGTATCATTTTCCAACCGCCAATGAAGGAATAGAGTAAAAACAGCTGCCTCAAAGAACTAATCCTCTAATCCCTTCAGCATGCTTGCACTCCGACTTGGCTTCTGTAGGCTCTGGAGTGGAACCAGCAGAATTGTTTTTTTTTATTTTTACAGTAAAAAGCATATTTTTACTGCTTTGTGAACAGCTGATCACAGTCATCTTACATATTTCAGTAGTTTTTGTTCCTTTCCATTTAAGATGTGAGTGATAGTGTTGTGGAAATGAATCAGGCAAAACAACTCTCTGTAGCTGACATGTTCTTAGATTTTGTGTCCATTGACGTAGATTTGAAGAAGGGAAATCATAATGTGTGCTGATTCATGTATTTTAATACTTCCCAGTTGTAACGTACTAAGTGGTGAAATACAATAGCTCATTTATTTATTGTTCGGGTTCTGTTCTTTACTGTTGAATGCATGTCATTGAAATGCTAAGAGCCTGACAAAGATACGAGATGAAAGGAAAGAAATTTAAAGATACAGTACATTCACATCCTCACCCTTGTTGGTACTGTAAGTTTGTGGTTTTGTTGCTTAATATCATGTCAACATTCCGGTCAATTGAACAGAACAAGTACAGCTCAGCACCTTGTAGAGCACTAATTATCCTAAAGCTGGAAACATGGGCGACTGTGTTAAAGTGGGTAAACACAAAAAAGGCATTTGCAGAATTTTATTAACTCAGCAGTTAGCCTGTGCATCCTTCATAGTTTTGACTCATTTTTGTTCCTTACAGATATCTACCCCCGGCAATGAACATTTCCCTTCTTCCTTTTTTCTTTCACAGCTGGTGGCCAATGCAATCCTATTCACAAGCGTGAACCTGTCTGGAGTATTTGTGAGGATCCTCACGGAAAGAGCCCAGAGAAAGGCCTTTCTTCAGGCAAGGAACTGCATAGAGGAAAGACTCAGGCTGGAGGATGAGAATGAGAAACAGGTGAGTCCAATAAACAAATGACGCTGACTGCCTACTGTACTGCTGTTGTAGTTGAATGTTTAGAACTGAGGCACAAAACACATCTGACATTTTACAAGAGAGCTGTATCTTTTCGCTCCTACAAAAGATCCGAATGGCGGCACTGCGGTGTCATAGCGGATGTGAAAATAAAGAGAGAACGACTAGGGAAAAGACCGGAAGAATCAGAGGAGAAAACCGCGGCACCTCAACCTTAGTGTGAGCCCACCGCAAGGTGTGATGTCCTGCAAATCATTTTGTTAAGGGAGGCTACCTCTGTCATAAAGATATTTCCACAAGTGCCTCCTTTCAAACAGATTTCAGGCTATTTACTGTTGGTAACTTAACAGGAGAAATGCCTGTCAACAGATTTAAGTGCCAATTGAGAATTAGTGCATTAAATACCTTTATTTTCATGGTCCTAACTAACACCGGTTTGTGTATTAAAATCACACTATTCCATCCTTACACAGTTTCCAGTGCTCTTTCTTGCTCTAATTTCTTTCTGTCCTATCATATGCACTGTATATTAAACATAGACACTGATATTTTATTAGTATAATATATTATAATGTATATTATATCGGTTTCAAAATTGCCTCACACTCTGCGTATGTTTTACAGTATATACAAAAAAAAATGTCAAAGTGAAGGATTTCAAAGTCGTTCAAAGCTCCTCTTATATTATATATTTTACAGCCATCGTGATTAAAAGAGTTCATACTGAAAGACAAACACCTGAGACAAGTGACTGTTTTGCCATTAGGGTATGAAAGTCAGTGACTCACTTGGTAAAAACATCTGTATGCAGTGTGAGATGAAGCCTTCATTTGGAGGAGCAGTCTCAAATACAGGCTTGGCAACTACCCACTTGACATGGCTGGAAGCCAAAGACGGTTGCTGTCTATGACTCTGTACAGCTGTTGCTGGGGTTCGATGGGCTGAAGTCAACTGGACTCCTGTCTGGACACAAACCGTGATTGGCCATGTCTACAAGCCAGGAAGGGTAGCTGCAAGACCTGAGTCCACAGGCACCTTAACACCATAGTCCATGTTTTCTGAGTAAAAAGAAACAAATAACTAGACTATGCACATTTCAGAGGGAGTTTTGTAGGTGTTCTTTGTCTCACCCTCTCCTGTCATTATGGCTGTGGGGGTTGTTTCATATTTTAAGTCTAAAATAAAAAAAGTCACAGTTTTTTAAAGACCTAAACATTTCTCACAGTAGTTAATATGACACATCTTCTGGCTGTCGCTCAGTTAAGATTTTGTTAGCAGTTAGTTGAGTTTATGATTTCCATATGAATACAGTAAATAGAAACAAACTTTGTTTTAAAATGACCCTTAACTGTTGATCTTAGGAGAACCTTTATCACAAATGGTATTTGACAACATTATTTCTGTTTTGCTTTCACAGCCACAAAAAAGCAATTTTAAATTTCATTATTATAGCCTTAAAATGAAATCATATACATCATCACACTTAATCATATTCTACTGTACAGTATACTGTATATGTAAGAAGAAATTTAACTTCAGTGCACAAATCAACCACTTAATGTTGTACACAATATTCTAAATTTATTGAGGAACATATGTGATTTTAATTTAAAATCCATACTGTATTATTTCTGGAAAAGATTCGTCATAATTGTCTGCATTTGAGAAATTAAAGTGCATGTGCACTGGAAAATGGAAACTGATATCAATGAAAAAGCACTTACTTGTGTTCCTTAAATATAAATATACTTGTACATTTTAAATCTATCTTGGAATTTAATATTTAATACTGCTATTTGATGTGTTTAGTACAGTTCATCTTATATTAATTAATTCAGTTGTGCTGTAAGTGGTTTTATTTAATTATTAACAAATGAAGAGTCACCTATTTGACCAAAGTTAATATTTCGATTAAATAGTCCATTTAGAATTAACATATACTGTAATTTAAATTATGTGTGATACATACTTTTAGAATAACACAAAATATTAAATACCTGTAGAAAGGAGTTTAATTCAATCCATGTATGCTGAGGGGATTTTAGTAACCTAATGTTAGCTCGTTAACTCCTTTGATGAGAAAAGCATTGCACTTTGGTTGAAATGAGTTCTGTGTATTCAGATTTTAGCTCAATTAGGCAACATTATTCACAGCTATTGTTGAAAATTGCCTAATGTGTTCTAAAAAATTGTTCTTCTTCTTAACCTTAATTCAGGTTTGGCATTATTGTGGATTGGCAATATGATGAGAAAGACCTGATTAACACCATTTAGGAATGCAAATACATTTTCTGTATTTCATTTTTGTTTTGAATCTTTTCAGAATTATTTTAGAATTACAGAGTATTTAATGTATTAGGATAATCACCATCCAATAGGCAACTTCTCTTTGAGTATATGACTGCTTTTGAATAAATGTTACATTCCAACTTCTTCCAACTGCTAGGAAAAATCATTATTTTGTATCCCAAGTGGATCATGGATTTTCTGGCAAAAATGTGATTTGGTGAATCACAGCTGTATTTGACAATATTAGCATGAGATATGAAAACAAATCAAATGACAGACGGTTAATGGCACATGAAAAATCTCAGCATCACAAGTGTAGTGTATTTATGGGTGTCATTAATATCAATATGAATTTCAAAATATTCTTCAGCCAAATCTGACCCCACATCAATTTAAATTGATGATACAAAGATACCTTTCCTAAAAAAAAAAACTTTACATTTATTATTTATAAAATTTAACTGGAAAAATATATAAAAACAGCAGGTATCTTAGCATGCAATGAAAAAAACTCTGCAGGCTGTTTTTCTTACATAAGATCTACATTATATGCGGCCGCTACTGATATCCTTGGAAAACCATACAACTGCGAAAGCTGTGTTCACAGGAACACAGGAGGTCTGAGTAGAAAAAAGTTGTTAGAATTGCAAATGATTTTGTGATGTTGTTCTCTAGGAGCGCCTTTTAATGAGCCTTCTGCCCAGAAATGTGGCAATGGAGATGAAGGAAGACTTTTTAAAACCCCCTGAAAGGATCTTTCACAAGATCTACATTCAGAGACATGACAACGTGAGGTAAGACTGTTTTATGCATTCAGATCACTCTGTTGCTGTTGTGGTCCTTTGTTTATTGGACTATAGTTTATTACTGGGAACAGTCAAGTCAGTCCCCTCTAGTTTGATATTTTCAACATTAAGTGCTACAGAACTTTCTCTGAGACACCTTGACATGTCTTCCTGTTTTTCTGTGTGTGTTTTCAACATACAGTATTGGAGCACATGCACAAAAGTACTACAAGCTAAATCTGCAACCTGAAACAAGGTTTTTATTAAAGGCAAAAACAACCGAATGAATAATACAAGGAACATGGGATGGCACACATTCCACACTTACTGTAGACCAGGCCAAAAAGCTGGATAACAAAAGAGTATTTGTAGAATTACTGAGTGGCAACTGCCTGGCCTGATGAAGAAAGAAGATAAAGCAACACTCTGATACATCTAAAGGATACTGGAGCTGCTTTGGCAGCAGTACAGGAGATGGTATTGGAATGGATGCTGGGAAATAATGGTCTCGAGGTCAGTATTTACAGTTTAACCTAGAGAGGTCGTGATTAGTTGGAATCCAGGGATGTGTTTCTCCCAAGCTTGTTTTATGAACTCTAATCTGCATTAGAGGTGTGAAGTACTTGCATTTTCATTATGAGTTGAACTCCCCCGGCTTCCCTCAAGAAACAGTGCGGATGAGATCCTGGAGATTAAGTGGTTAAGTGGGACGAATGGTCTTCTCTCCTTTGAAACCCTTCTTTGGGTCTGTATCACCTGTAGAGTCGTTACACTACAGTATATCACTTTGGTATCTGAACCAGATAGCCACTCACAGAAAAACACATCAGACAATGCAATTGACAATCATGAAAAAGAAAGCACAATGCTGTTCTCCCAAGAAAGCAATGGTAGTACAGTAACAGCTATATAAATGGTAAGAGAGAATCAAGTCTGTTTGCTCAAAGTCAATAAGCCTTAATTTATAGATTGTGGAAGTCCTAGTCACTGATAATTCAACAACTGTTAGCCAGAATGCATTCGTATCTGTTCAACAGCGTCTTTCGTGTCCTCGTTGCCTTTATCCACGTACAGTAAAGAAGGCTTGGAATGAAAGACAGATGATCAGCTCCAGTCAATGGGGTTCACATCTGGAAACCATTGAGACAATGTCAGGGCTTTGATGCCCAGACTCTTTTGTTACACTGGAGCGGTGAGCTTTTGTACATTACACAGATCTTCTGTAGAAATGCTATCTCCTTTGAACAAACGGGCAGAGGCATAAACAGGCAAAAGTAGGAGTATAAATACTGTATGGTCAAATTAATAATCATGCTGTGGTTGTAAAGGAAGAACTGAGACAGTTCTATGATATTCAAACGTGTATTTTCCAAATTTTGAATTTCATATCTTGAATATCGATTTTAACCTGTGTACATACAACAGACAGCATTGGGCTAGTAATGAGGTGAAACAATGTGTTAACTTTGAGAATGACGCAAGAACTGTTTGTTTAAATATAACAAAGGAAACATTACCACAGCCCTATTGAAGGTATTTTAAAAGTATAAAGTAAAATAAGAAGACATCATTCAGCGATTCAGAAATATTTTGTATATTATAAAGATATGTTTGAATTTTGTAAATTAATTAGTAAACCATTTGTGTATTGACCAAGCTGTTTGAAAATTAATTTTAAGATGGCAAATTTTCAGTTATATTCATCTTCATAATACTATACTGTATTAGAAATATGGTTTTTGTTTGAAATAAGTTTTAATTTATTTTGTCCTCAAAAAAATATCTTCTTCAAACTCCTTTTTACAACAGTTTCCTATTTATTGATTATATAAGAGTTTAAGCAATTGCAGAAAAATGGTGATTATATACCTTATCTTTTAATACTTTCTGAAGACAACTTGAAAGCACAATCCCAAAATACTTGTTGTTCTAATTGTTATTATCCAATTAAAACTGACAAATAATAAATACATATCAATATAATTCAAAATAAAAACAATTTAAAATACTTTTCACAAAGAAGACAAGAAATTGCCTTACTTTCTCTTATTCTTTTTCAAAATGTACTAACAAAACTCTGTGCCAAAAATGCATTTACAGTATATTGGGTACCGATATAAAGATAATCAAAGATAATAAAAGATCATATAGTTACCTATTTTTACATAAACTGTTGCTCAAACAGAAGAGTTGTGCCGTCTCATGAAATTGTACTGACTTGAGAATTATAATTAAAGTCTTAGAGATCAAGCTGAAAAGATAAAAAGGCACACCAAACTTTTAGCTCTTAAAAGGCTGGTATGTTCTGTGACAACAATTTAACCTGAGGTCACTCAGTTACTCTAAAAAGCAATTAATATATTAATGCAATTCTGGGCAACCAGAAAAGAAATCACACTCCAAAATTAAGCAAGTATTGAAGCTGACTTCATAACATATAAGGTGTGAAGTACAAGTATGATTTTTTCTTGTCGTTAAATTTTTATTTCTATTTGGAGATCTATAACAACAGTACTGTACTTCAGATTGATTAAGTTCTTTTTAAAAAGTCACCCTTTGGCAAAGTGAATAGATTAACTACTTTTAAAGTACAATATTTCTCTTGGTTGTTTTAGACATCATTCATTCTCTTCCTGAGAATAAAGCCTGCTAGGATTTTAATTCCTGTGTAGCTTTCAATCAAGCAATTGCAACTATCCCAATGTAGTGTACTGTATATACCGTACTGGTCTTCATATCAGCTCTAGACAAGAGGCTAATAATGAAAGTACATCTATAACATTTATTCTTTCATAGTAAAGTGTTACCACCTTGTAGCCTGATGTCGTTGGATCTCAGAAGCTAAGCAGAACTACACTTGTCCTATAATGGGATGCAAGACAGATTTTTCATTTTTTGAAAGAGACCATAGTTATGACAATGTAATTTCACAGCTATTCATGTAATTTTTGTATTCTGAAGTGCCTTCTAAATTACGGCCCAGAATTTTGTATGGGTTCTGTCATTTGAGCATGTTTACTTTATTGGCCCGATGTTTATCTTTTTTGTACAAATGTCCTGCATTACAGCAATCAATCTGGTGTCATTGTCTCTGTAAATGATCCACAATTTGTGGCTCAATTCGTTTTTTAAAGCATTGTTTCAATTTAGCCATTTAGCATGTTTATTTAAAGGTTTTGCACATGATGGATTTCTTACTGCTTCAAGCAGTGTTCCTGGACCAGTAAGTGGTGCTCATCCCACTGTACCACAGTCTCTATGCCAATGCCCCACTGTGTTAACTGGGGACCACATGTTGTGTAGGAGGCACTGTCATTCTGATCAGATGTTAAAGTATGGTGTGGCTACTAGGCCATTAAAGATCCTACAACACTTTTCAAAGGAGTCGGGGTGTGAACACCAGTGCCCTAACCAAATCGCACTCTGAGCTTGTACAGTCAGGCCTCCCAAAGGTTCCCTCTTAATTCAACCAATGAGGCGATTTCTGACTTCATCACACAGCTAGCGTGTGTCACAGCTGCCGTGTGTTACCCTGTTCTGGGCAGCAGTTACTGATGTAGGTCCCATCATATACTGCATGTGAAGCACTTTGGCATCCTTTAGGATCAAAGGCTCTACACAAACACACAAAGTGATTATTCAAGTGGTTTCCACCCACTGTGGTGCAGTGTGAAGAATAATTAAATTTTAAGTAATGAGGGTATTCCTGCATTGGAAAAGGGAGAAAGCAAAGCTGTCGGTTACACTGGAAGTGCATTAGGAACTCGTAATCCCAAACACGCGTGAACTAATCTTTTCAAAAAAAACATGTGGGTATTATCCACGCATGTTATGATTGCTCCAAGATGTCCAATTGGTAAAGGGATTGGGGTTGTTTTATCTCTCTTTCCTTTTCTTGGAGATGGAGTATTTCTAGCACAATGGTATTCATGGGCTAATAGCTCTCGGTTCAAGTGCCCATCCTCAGAGCCCTCTGGAGACTACCATGTAACACCATCAGAGCTGCATAAATTCGTGTTAAACCTTTGATCAGGCCTCTTGAGATAAACTCTTTAATATTGCTGAAAAAAGAACACTTCCAACATACTTAAAAGTACTTCCTAAGCATTCCTTTGTGCTCTCCTTCATTGTTATGACCATTTAGTGTAAATATACTGTATTTCCCTATTGCTTGAGATGCAGTCTTACAAGAGGTATTTCTCTGAACTGGAAAACCTGCAGGATTACTTACCTATAAGTATTGTGCCCATCATAACCATGTGAAACCTACATACAGTATAGTAGATGTGAAAGAAATGTCCTCTTATTTAGCACCTCAAGACAAAGGCCCTGAATTGTCCTTAGAATTGTCCTTAGTCCTGGATAGGGTCACATGTAAAAGAACTTGTGGAAATTAGTTAAGGTACATATTTTATTTATAACTAGTCATTGCCTTCGCCTTTTGCATCATTGTTGCCTTTATAATAAAAGCCATTGAAATATAATAAAAGTCAGAAAAAAAATCAGTTATGATGATAATTTTTTGTTTTGTTTTTTTGTTTAGTGAATAATTTATAATACTTTCTAAATGAGGGTACTCCTGCATGTTAAAAAGGAGACAGAAAAGCTGTTAATTATACTGGAAATGCATGAGCAACTTGTCATCCTAAGCATGCATGAACTAATCTTAGTTTATGTGTGTTCGGGTTTGAAAACAAAGGGAATTAAAAAAATACAGCAAAATGTTTTTGTTTGAAATAATTTTTAACATGAAATGGAAAACCATTTTTTATCTTGTCCTGGAAAACATAATGCTTAAAACCTTAAGAATGTTTAAAGCTGTGGCTTCTTGCTCTCAGAACGATGGAAATGATTTAGCTCTGGCAAAGGATCAAATCTGACTTAATCTGTTGAAGGTGGGCATATTGAAGGTGAGAATACTGAGGTCTTACAGTAGGTCTTGATTGAGACCTAATAATTCATTAAAAATGGATGCCAAAAATATTTAATTATTTTCCAAAATCCAGATATGCCTTTTTTCTAAAGACATGGGACATGCATAAATGAGTAATTTGTTACACACAATATCTCCAGTATGTTCCCATGCATTGCTGTCATTATTATTAGAAATTCCATTGTTAAATTTGAGTTTTGGTATGGACCATACAAAGTCTGGTGTTTATAATACAATATTGTTACAGGAATCCAAACCATTTGTAAAATACAATATATGCTCACTTTTAATCTCAGGCACAGCTCTGATGACAGTAGTATTTCAGGCCCAATTGTAAACAGAACAAATATTTATTAACAGTAAATGACATGATTATACAATGGACACATTGGTGACACTAAAGACAGATATTTATAATCAGTGGTTTCCAGAATCCCAATTCCTATAGACCTATGAAAATTAAGAATTACTCCCTTGTTATCCAAGTACACAACACCACCTTAAAAAGGGCAAAGAGAAAACCTGAATGTTCATAAAAATTAACATTACTCAGGAGAAAATGTCCCTTCCTAAAACACAGATGTCCACATGTGTCTGGGGAACCAATTTTTCTACTCTAACAATGCATCACTAACAAAGCAGAAAACATTTTTAGCCTGAGGATTCCAAAGTATAGAAAATACATTTTTTCTTAAATAAATGAGACAGCAAGCACTCTCATAATAATACCGTGATTTCCTAGCTAGAATTTTGTTCAGTCTGGTTAGAAAAAGGATCTGTCCCACTGTTCAGCTACTTACTTTTCTTTGCTTCTTTTCTCAGTATTTATGCTGTGGTCCATTCCTACAGAGCCTGGATAATAACCTCCATAGGAATGGGCAGTCACTGTTGACATTTTAACCTCTAATATGGTGGTGTTATTGATTGGCATTGACGTTATTTGACCAGAGTAAATCATTAAGGAAACAGCCTTTGGTGTATTTAAGTATAGCTGTATTTCCCCTCATATCTAGTCTGATAGCACTGTCCATTTAAAAACATTTTCTATACTGTTAGAAATAGTCAAGGAAATAATTCATCTGTTGTACTGAATAAGCAGCACAGAGAGTGAAGCTGAGCTGAATAGCTTTTTATCAATGTAATTGCCTTGTGCCAAATGTCAATAACACCTACATGCTAAAGCAGTGATATTGCAATACACTCTTCATCAGCCACAATGCCACAGTTTTTATACAAATGACATCTATTGATTGTACCCATTTTCAAGCCTCATGAGTGAAATATTCCATTGTGTGGCCACTCTGTATGGCTTAGAAAACAGGTCTGCTCTGTTGCCCTTTTCTACTGTACAGTAGGTAAAGCTGGTTAAGTCATCTGTACCTTCCAGAAGAGACCCAATCAAGATCAGAAACAAAACACTTTTCCTTCCAGTAGGAACCGCAGACATACAGGAACTGTGGTTCAATAACAGTCAGGAGCTTTTAGGAGCTTATCTGGGTAATAATTATTATATACATATATGTTTAATAAGAAATGTTATAATATAATGTTACTGAGAGGGCAGAGCTCTGTTGCCTGCTGTTATTACTTTATTACCCCTGAAAGTACTGTACACTGCCATTCCATTGTACACTGCCTTTATCTTTGCCTTCAAGGTCCACCCCAAAATATGCTTGTTCTTGTTTTCATTTTATTTTTCTGTAAGCTAATTACCACTTCCATACTGTAATCATACTTAGGAAATATCTGCCTTCCTAGCCTTGCCTGTGGGTTTCAAACATTTTCTTTTTTATTGCTATTCTTCAATGTACTTTTACAATAGCATGTTTCACCCTGCTTTGTGTCAGTAGGCTTGCTATGCATCAATTTAAGTATAGATTTCAACATCGATGCACCAATTTCATTATACACCAAATTATATAGTACAGAGTCCCTTACCTTTTGTTCTGAAATGAACAAAGCAAAATGTTTTAATAATAAATTACTTTACATATTAAATATAATAATATAATAAATCAGGATCTTGATGCTATTTAAAATTATATAATGTTGGTGCTCTTTATAGAATATGCTTTATTTTAGTATTTTTATTGCTGGTTGAGTACTCTGAAAAGTTTTTTGAATGGTTTAGTACTCTGAAAATCACATGAGCTACTCTATTTGCTTGAGTTCCCTGGAGTGTTTTTATTTTCCTGAAATTCCCATTTCAGCTTAAATGTCTTAATTTATTGGCTTCTGCGCTCCATGATATACTATAAAATGGTTATTCAAGTTGAATTCTTTTGAAAACATTTCAGAACATGAGTGAATGTCCATTAATTTATGTTAACAGTGGTACACCATTTAACACTGATATTTTTACATTATAATATTATGATTTAAATACATGTTTTTCTAACATTATGTCTACAGATTTAAAACAGTATATCTAAGATAAAAATGAGAAAATTATATGCAGTTCAAAATACAGTGATTTACAATATATAGGTAAATTACACCATTTTCAGGATCTTTTTTTTTTTATTTTGAAGAAGGTGGTGACCGTGTTTAACCCAAATGAAATACTGTTAATGCTGGTAAATTAAGTTCCTTGTCTTTTATGTCTCCAGCATCCTGTTTGCTGACATAGTGGGATTCACAAGTCTGGCCTCCCAATGCACAGCCCAGGAACTTGTCAAGCTGTTGAATGAATTGTTTGGAAAGTTTGATGAACTGGCTACAGTAAGTAAATAACTTTACCATTTTTTAATGAACAATACTGTAGAACTCCAAAACGTTTTCATTTTATTAATATT